TTGCAATGAGCCGTCCCCCTCCTGCTCTTATTTCTGGTCCTTACAGCCATCGGGACCGTCCTCCCTCTCTCACAGTCTCCCTGCTTGGTGATGCAAGGCACAGCCCTCCCACGGTGACTAACCGGAGTGGGAGATCCAACCGTAACGCTGCTATCCCTGCTGGTTGCCATGGAGACAAACGCTCTGTAGCCAGAGCTTAGGATTTCTCTCCTCCCTCTGTCTGTGCTGGGATCTTTCTCTCCAGATTAAAATCTGTGGGAGCAGCACGGAGGCTGGGCGTCATCCACAGCCGATCGGCTCCCCGGCAGACATGATGGAGTGGAGCGCTGCAATAGGGGCTTTGTTTATGAGCTGCTCGCTGCTGAAGCCAAAGGCGACAGGATTTATGGAGGTGCACTGGAATAAGGCAGCAGGTTCCACTGGCAGAGTTTAGGAGGAGGAGGAGGAACCATCAGGCTGGGATGGATGACAGGAGACTGGTGCTGCTGGTGAGGAATAAACTCTGAGGAAAGAACAGAGTAGCAATAAGGGAAGGAGATGCAGCCATTTGGCAGGAGGTGCTGAGGAAGACGAGGAGAAACGATTCTCTGTGATCCAAGCCATCCCTCCTCTTCCTCAGCGGAGGATCCACACGCTCAGCACCCAGAAAGCATGGAGCCCCTGAAGGTGAGCCATCTTCTCCTTCTGGTCATGCTCTGAACTGAATGTTTTCTGAGGTCCAGCTCAGTCAAACAGGAGGAAACGGCTCCCTCTCTCATCTTCATCGTCTCACTGAAACTTTGGGTTTTTAACCCCTCGTCCTCCGGACAGAGGCTGATGACGCTGATGACTGCGCTGTCTTCTTCTGTCCCAGGGGTCTCTCTGCCAGCTGAGCTGAGCATCAGCACCATGGGCACCACGGTCATCACCCTGGACGATGTCCGGGCGCTGGAGCTGAAGGAGGAGCAGGAGGAGTCCTTCCTGGCACTGCTTGGCATTGTTGGCACGTTCCTCAACCTCTTTGTAATAGTTTTTGTCTACATCTATACCACGCTGTGAGAGGGGAGGGGGGATCCTACCCATGGATGATCAGACTGGAAGCAGAGCCATTCCCGGTCTGAAATGAAAATCTCTCCCAGATCTAGATGGAGGACCCTCCCAGAAGCAGCAGCCATAGCGCCAAACCCAGCGCTGGTGGAGAGGTAGCGAAGGGCTGGGGGACCAGGACTGAATAGGACTGAGTTTGGAGCGGCTGGGAGGCGACCCGGCCCGACAGAGGACAGCGGTGTCTGAATGCCTCTAATGCTACGTTCAGACCGCACGCAACAGAAGCAGCAAAAAAGCGCTGCTGCTTAATTTTTGATGCTCGTACACATTAAGATCCGACGCCTCAAGTGCATCTTTGATGGTCCTGAAGTGCGTCCAATAAAATGTGTCCCCTTAGTTAATTTACGCGCTAATAAACTGTTTCAGATTGATCATAGCGCTCTGCATCAGCAGTGCTGTGTCTGTCTCCCTGCCAGCTCCCAGATCAGCTTCTCTGATTGGTTAATGTGGCGCGTCCAGCAGCAAATTATACATTTTTTCCAACTCCAGCAGCTGCTTCTGAAGCGTGTCAGCGGGTCAGATGCTCAGAAGCTCATGAAGCGCTGCAGGACCTTTAGCTGCGACTTGATGCGCATCAGCCCTTGACTTTGTATGTAAAGTAGCTGCTTCTGCTGCTTCAGGAGCGTGCGGTCTGAACGTAGGATAAGGGTGCCGCCATTTGTCAAAAGGCTGCAGCTCTTCTGACAGGAACCATGAGGAGGAGCTCCTGGAAGGCCAAGGTGTCGTCAGACACCTTGCATTGTGGGAAATAAACCAAGGAATGGGAGCTGCTGTGAGCCAAGCTGACAGCAGCTGAATCTTCTACTTCTGCATGTGTTGTGGTGCTGAAGGCTACACTGCCCCCTAGAGTCCAGCAGAATACCGGGGACGCTGCGTCAGCCATGTTCCTCAGCAAAGCATAGACTGAGCTCATTCCAGGAAGACGGCATGGTGCAGACGGACTGCTGGGAAAGAAAACCCTCTTCTGGGATCAAAACTGAACATGTGGAGATATTTTCATATTGAGGTCTTCACATAAAATGTTAATTATGTATAATCAGACATATCTGAACGTCTGCTGCTTTTTCCTCTCATGTTGAAAATAAGATGTTTATAAAACGAGTCTCTGAGTCTCAGTGGTGTT